TGTAACAAGAATTACAACACTTCGTTATTCTCGCATTCAAGTGATTTGTATCCCAACATCACCCAAAATTGGGCAATACAGTGATGTAACTTTTTGACAAGTGGGGGTAGGAAAATTTGGGGGAAGGACACTACTGGGAGGTAATCCCTAGTATAAGAGCATGCACAGTTGCATTAGGAATGGACTTGATGCTGCTGAGAATTGTGCATACATTTTTTAACTCCTAAGGACAGCTCTGAATTCCTAAAGCTACTAATATGCTGAGAAATCTACAATAGCTTTTCCAGAGAAGCTGCAAAATCTTATAATGTAAGGTTTAATGTGGTTATGCACAAATTTATTTTACAAACATATTTTTCTGTGCAGGCCATATTTTGCATGCTATGGGTAAAGACTGCATTTGTTTCTATTGACAAGAAAGTCATCAGCAAGTTAGACGTTTATTTAAAAAAAATTGAATTTATGTAAGTACAGCAAACAAACAGCACTCCAAAAGCAATATTAGATTCATGTTTTCACAGGTCATTTATAAATTAAAAACAAACTTTAGCTGAGTGGTCATGAGACATATCTTTAGTGATACCTTTTGTCTGTTTTTCTAATTACTGTACACAGAACATGTTATAGTGAAAGGACTAGTTGATTCTTAACTGTAGTATAACTGATGTACATTATATAATTTGATATTATTTTGTAACTTGACTGTCAATTTTGTTAGGGTTATTTTTACTCTTGTCTCCACAAGATGGCTCTCTGAACATTTATTTGGGTACCATAAGAAAAATAAAATTAGCTATTGGTTAGTCACTGACTATTAGATGAGTTTATGAATGTAGAATTTCAGTATGTAAACATCTGCAAAAGAATACTTTAAATCTAACTTTTAACCTGCCTTGTAATAAACATACTACAGATAAATGACATTACAAAAACCTTATTTTCTTTCATTTAATGTTATATAATTTCCTTTGCATTGGTTTGGACACAACTTAGTAAGTATAGTACAGTTCAGTTAAACATCATGAACATATCAAAATCAAATAAAAAAAACAAAATAAAATAAAGTAGTAACATTTGAAAGCCAATCCTATAGCAGTGGTTCAAATGAATAAAACAACCCACTGAGAAAGTGTCTTCAGATATCTTTGAGTGTGTGGACTGAAACAACTAATGAGAGAAACCCCACAAGGCAATATAGCAAAAATTTATTACTTGCTGTAAAAGCAGGTTCCATCAGAGTTCAGACACTCCATGTTCTCTCACACACACGCAGACAGACAGACAGACAGACAGACAGTGAGTGAGTGAGTGAGTTGGCCAAAACTTGGAATTTGACCTGCTTTCAATGTAATTTGAATTCTGACCTTTCCGAATTGTAACATCTGAAATTCTGTGTGAAACTTAACATCTGTGAAACTTAACAAACTTATCAAAGGTTAAACCATTTTATTTCAAGTTTATCTATTAATATAATGGTTCAGTTTTCCCCTTCAAAACTATTTTCACAACTGTACTGTAGCTTTCAGTAATATACTCTTTGCTTTTCTCCTGTTCAGACTAGAGATGTTAAATTTCAGTTAATTGAATAGTCAATTAACCCCATAATTCTTATTAGTTACTTGACTATTCTATAGTCCCTGAAGGTGGGGCCAGCATCCACTGAGCTCTGGCCCCACTCCCAAGGAGCCCCCAACCACTCCACACTGCTGTTTCTGTATCAGAGGCAGCAGCGTGGGGTACCAGACAGGAGCTGGTCTGTGAGGGGAGCTAGTTTAAAAACCAGCTCCCCTCACGAGCTGGCTGCCTGTTGCCCTGCACTGCTGCCTCTGATACAGAGGTAGTAGCGTAGGGTGGCAACAACCCCTGTCCAGGGAGATGGGGGGAGGGAGAACCATCTGGCAGGGAGCAGGGCTGGCCAGTAGGAGGTTGGAGGGAGAACTGGCTGGTGGGGAGGAGGTCAGGGGGAGCGAGGCTGGCTGAGGGGGAAGAATGGGAGGGAACCCCAGGGATTCCATCCTGCCCCGCCCTGCCCCCCCTCCCACTGCATAGTTGCATACTGTCTGACTGGTAGATACGCTCACGCAGTGTGAGCATGTCTACCAGCTAGGCAGTATGCAATTACGTACTGATACGCATGATAATAATAAAACTTATTTAATTAGAAAATACCGGACATTTATATGTTCGGTATTTTCTCAATTTGTTTCCCAGACATGAAGTTCAAATACCGGACTGTCTGGTTCAAAACCAGACACCTGGCAGCCCTATCCATATTCATCAGGTTTGGACCTGGAAGGTGAGAACAGTTAACATGCAAGGTACTGTAGCCCAGGGCCTGGTTTAAATGTGGGCGAATTGCTGAGTTCCACCCCAAGATAGATAAAGCCGTGATGAAATGCACTCAAAGAGACCAAATCAGAAGAGCAGCTAGACGTGAAATTGTGAGCATTGGTAAATTACTCCATACAGAAACATAACCCACATTCCTCATAAACTATGACTAATATAATATGGTCTGAACTCATTATTGAGCATGACTCACAGTTGGTAAAACCCATTCTCATTCTTAGTATCTTTGCAGATAGAAAGCATAGGTAAAAGAATGAAAAGTTAGTTATATATTTTGGCTAGTAGTTTAAACTATATTTTAAATTTTGGACTCTAATTCCTTAATTGTTAATGTTGGGTCAGTGATTTTGCAAAGATGTTGTTCCATCATAGGGTTGCCAGGTGTCCGGTTTTGAACAGGACAGTCCAGTATTTAACCTTTGTGTTCAGGAAACAAGTTGAGAAAATATAAATAGGATGTAATGTAGATTGTGGTGTAATGTCAAGTGTGTCCAGTATTTTTGTTGAAACCATCTGGCAACCCTAGCTTCTGGAGAGTTGTAGAGTAAACATGTTTAGAGATATTTTGCCACATAAGTTTACTGTCCGCAACCTGTAAGATCTGCATATTTACAATTGTACAAGTGTCAGTAATTTAACATTTTTCAACTATGAAAAAATTGTTATAGTCATTGTTTTGGGACAGTGATTAGCCAGAGTTATACAAAAAGACCATATGTTGCCTTGAAACCTAAAATAATGAGCTACTTTTAAAAGATACTGATTTTTTACAGAAGAGAAATATTGAGGGTTTTAAAAAAAAGTTACATAAGCTGTGTGAATTTGGTCAGAATACAAGAAGCACTGACAATTACTAGTTGTAATTTAACATGCCATATCTTATGTAGAATTATTATGGAAGTGTCAACTAAGGCTCTTATTGAGCATCTTTGAAAAATTTTCCTTGTGTAATTTTATCCAAAATGACTTCACGTGTGAAGTTTGTAGGTTATCTGTCTTATTACCTTTTAATTTTCTTAGACAGTTGATGTGTTGAATATACAGTAAACTTCCGATAATCCGGCACCTTTAGGACCCAGGGGGTGCCAGATTATCAGAAGGGGGGGCTATGAGGGGTCTGGAGTGGGGGGGATGCCATCCCAGACCTCTCATAGCCCCCCATTCCGATAGTCCATCTCTACCCCAGGCATCCCCGATTCAGCAGCTGCTGGTCAGTTTCAGCAGTGGCTGAATCAGGGACGCATGCCGGGTTGGTCCTGTAGCACCGCGCGGGACCAACCCGGCAGCATCCCAGCTGCTCTGCCCCCAGCTTCCTCGATTCAGCTGCTGGTCAGTTTCAGCAGTGGCTGGATTGGGGGAGGCCGGGGCCACGCCAAGGGGCAGCGCTATGGGACACACCCAGCAGCACTTCAGCTGCTCTGCCCCCGGCTTCTCCGATTCAGCTGCTGGTCAGTTTCAACAGCGGCTGAATTGGGGACGCCTGCGGCAGAGCAGCTGGGGTGCTGCTGGGTTGGTCCGGTAGCACCGCCCCTCGGCACTGCGAGACCAACCGACAGCACCCCAGCTGCTTTTGGGGGCGCCTGGAGTAGAGCAGCCGGAGTGCTGCCGGGTTGGTCCGGTAGCACCGCCCCTCGGCACTGCGAGACCAACCGACAGCACCCCAGCTGCTTTTGGGGGCGCCTGGAGTAGAGCAGCCGGAGTGCTGCCGGGTTGGTCCGGTAGCACCGCCCCTCGGCACTGCGAGACCAACCGACAGCACCCCAGCTGCTCTGCCCCGGGCTTTCCGGAGTCAGCTGCTGATCAGTTTCAGCAGCGGCTGAATCGGGGAAGCCTGGCACAGAGCAGCTCCAATTCTCTGGCTGCCCCCAGCACTTCCGGGTTCCTGATGGTGCCGGACCATCAGGAGTGCTGGAGCATTGGATGCAGGACCAATGGAGTTTTACTGTAGTAAAATGGCTTTTCACTGATTGATTCATTGGTACAAATGTTGCTGCACTTAGTTGCAATCAGCACCAAGTAAGAGAGTATAAATAATTGTTTATTTAGAGCAGTGTTTGTTGAACTGTGTTCCACGGCACACTGGTGTGCCTCAGAGAACTTAATTCAAAATGGCTGCCTTAAAGGGGAAGGTGACCTTTTTTACCCTTTTTTCCTCAATAACTTCCCCCCAATCCTTCCCCCCCCAACCTTTTTTTTTTCTTCCCTCAACAAAAATTGTTTGGTTTCCTCCGTCTTAAAAAGTTTAAGAAACACTGATTTTAGAGAGTGTATATATAGCCAGCTCAGTCCAATTTGATGCTGGAGTAACTTAAAAAAGAATCTTCCACAGCTGTGAACAATAATACAAGAAGGAATATTAAGTATTATTGTAATAAACACTTGACCCCAACTTCAACTCTGTTTGAATGTCCAAAAAAGGTTGCAGGCACAGATTGGCTGTCTGTTAAGCAAGTGAGGAAACTTGTTATTATGCTTAGAGGACCATCTAATTTTTAAAAGTCTTGGGGGGGGGGGAAAAAACACACCAAAACGAAATACTATGGAGAGGAGGATACTGAATGTTTTTTAAACTCTGATAGCATTTGTCCATTTCAGTAGTGCCAATTTAAATGTTAAACCTTTAATTAATTTTTCCTACATTATTCCACAAGATGTCCCTGGTAGATTTGGGAAAGAAGCTTTTAGAAGCTGCACGGGCAGGTCAAGATGATGAAGTTCGCATTTTGATGGCAAATGGAGCACCTTTTACCACAGATTGGGTAATAAAATATTTCATTTGTTGAAAATGTTTGTCATCTTTGTTTCTCTGTGATATCTTCCCCAGAAAATAGTGTAAATAAATGATCAGAAATATACAAAATCATAGAAATCTACATTGAGCTTTATATATATATTCCTGTATTGAATCCGGCTAGTTAATAATATTGCCTGACTTCATAAAGAGAGTTCATCCTAATTATGTAACTATGTTTTAGTTTAGGAAGAAGGCTCAATTAATAGCTTTATTCTAATTGCTGATGATCAGCAGAAGTAGGGTCAATGACAAACACTAAAGCTGGAAGTTGGTAGAGTTGGAACATGTATGTGGCTTTAAAGAGGCAAGACATGGACAGTGGTCTCTTTTCTGGATGATGTTAGCAGAAAATCTCAACTTGGAAATCTTTCTTTTTTTATATTACTTGCTTTCATCCTGTTGTGCCTTCGTTCCATGAGACTGGAAGGGGGAAATGATTATTAAGGGAAACGCAGTGAGATGTGGATTGATTGATACCTAGGTTCTTTACTTTTAGGATAAAAGAGACAATAAGAGAGGGATGGAAGTGAGCACTTCATAGTGGTGTGGGAGGGTTGTTTTTTTTTTAATGGTCAACTTTTATACCATGTTACAGCTGGGAACATCACCACTTCATCTAGCAGCACAATATGGGCACTATTCAACTACAGAAGTGTTACTTCGAGCTGGTGTAAGTCGGGATGCCAGAACCAAAGTGGACAGAACTCCATTACATATGGCAGCATCAGAAGGCCATGCAAACATAGTAGAAGTCTTACTTAAGGTAAAAACTTTTTTTTTAATGTTACCTACATTTGAAATAGAACTTGAATCTAGAAGACTAGTTACTCATAAATCTGTGGAGGTGTAACTTTTTAAAATCCTACAATTGGCTGAAAATGACTATTCAATGTATTTTTAAAAAATCCTTAACAGTATCCTCTGTATTAAGGGTGCAGGTGATACATTCTTTTTCCCATTCAGTTTTGGGTTTTATTTGTAATTATTTGTTATAATCACTGTGCTTTCAGGCAAATTGTTCATTGGCATCCAAAAAGAAGACTTCTTCATAATGCAATACTGGATACATAAAATTGTTCTAAAAACTGCATGTCTGGACTTCCAACACTCCTGTCATCTGAAGAAGTGGGCTATGCCCACGAAAGCTCATGATACCATCTACATGTTTTGTTAGTCTTTAAAGTGCTACCAGACTATTTGTTGTTTTTTAAGTTTTTCCTGTTACAGACTAACTCAGCTACCCCTCTGAAACTTTTAATCCTTTTTGTTAATGTGTGTGGTGTTTACTGTAGAGTACTTTTAATAAACTAGTAATTGTAAGACAGCAGGAAGTTCCTTTCAGCAAGCAAGTGAAAGAGAGTAGTTTCATCATTGTTCTGTTTGCAACTTTTTGCAGTTTACACAGATCAATACAGCATAGTCTGTTTGATGTTTTTGTTTGCAGCATGGTGCTGATGTTAATGCAAAGGACATGCTAAAGATGACAGCTCTTCACTGGGCTACAGAACACAATCACCAGGAGGTGGTGGAGCTCTTAATAAAATATGGAGCAGATGTCCACACGCAGAGTAAATTTTGCAAAACTGCATTAGATATTGCAATAGACAATGGGAATGAAGATGTAGCGGAAATATTACAGGTAACTTTTTTGATTGATGATACTGGTGAAACTTACAGAAAGATGCTGATTGGTTGTTAATTTAGTAATTGTTGAAGGTTATATGGCAATGAACATATATTTTTCTCCTCTGCAGTCCTAGCATAGCATGAATATCATAGAATACGAGGACTGGAAAGGACCTTAAGAGGTCATCGAGTCCAGTCCCCTGCCCTCATGGCAGGACCAAATACTGTCTAGACCATCCCTGATAGACATTTATCTAACATACTCTTAAATATCTCCAGAGATGGAGGTTCCACAACCTCCCTGGGCAACTTATTCCAATGTTTGACTACCCTGACAGTTAGGAACTTTTTCCTAATGTCCAACCTAAACCTCCCTTGCTGCAGTTTAATCCCATTGCTTCTTGTTCTATCCTCAGAGGCCAAGATGAACAAGTTTTCTCCCTCCTCATGACACCCTTTTAGATACCTGAAAACCGCTATCATGTCCCCCCTCAATCTTCCCTTTTCTAAACTAAACAAACCCAGTTCTTTCAGCCTTCCTTCATAGGTCATGTTCTCTAGATCTTTAATCATTCTTGTTGCTCTTCTCTGGACCCTCTCCAATTTCTCCACATTTTTCTTAAAATGTGGTGCCCAGAACTGGACACAATACTCCAACTGAGGCCTAACCAGCGCAGAGTAGAGCGGAAGAATGACTTCTCGTGTCTTGCTCACAACACACCTGTTAATGCATCCCAGAATCATGTTTGCTTTTTTTGCAACAGCATCACACTGCTGACTCATATTCAGCTTGTGATCCACTATAAC